CAGTGAAAATTAATACCATATTTCCTCAAAATATAACCAAGAGGGAGCATATAAATAATGAAAAGAAGTGTGCCCAAAACAGAACCCTGTGGAACACCAGTGGTGACTCTAGATGTTCTTGATCTAAAACATTTGAATTAAATACGCTGACTGCGTCCAGATAGATATGACCTAAGCCAAGACAGAGCAGTGTCAGTAATCCCAATAGATGCTAACCTGTCAAGAAGTATCTTATGTGAGACAGAATCAAAGGCAGCGCTCAAGTCAAGAATGACAAGTATGGTTAAAAGCCCGGAGTATGCTGCCAGCAGATCATTGGTTATTCTGACAAGAAGTGATATGGTGGGGAAGAAAACCAGATTTGAATTGTTCATACAAGTTATTATTGGAAAGATTTTCATGAATTTGAATTGCAATACACTTCCACTACCTTAAAGATAAATGGTAAATTTGAAATTTGATAAAAATTAAATGATCAACCCTTAACCAGCACCCCTATATTTTGAGAATTTTCTGAAAATTACATACCCAAATCAAATGTCTGTAGCTACCCTATGGTCCACATTCATAACTCTGATCTTTTTTTTTAAACTAGACTCTTAAAACTTTGTTACCCAAGTGTCATTATAACTAAAAGTAGCATAGGAACAGAGTTAAACAAGGTAAAATTTACATGAAAGTGACAATTTCTTTGAATGAGCTTCACTTAGGGAACAAATTATCATACTTTAATGTTAAAGGCCTGAAAACACCATAAAGATCAAATTGAATGTCTGACCATGTTTTGATTCAAATTTGAGTGATATTTCCCAAAAATGTCGTTTCTGTAAGCTTTTATTCAAGAAAAGTCTAGGCGTCCTTTCCAAAAGGCCATTTGGAGACTCCAAATGGACACCTGGTAACCAAATGATATAAGGAGCAAACACTACATACATGCATGTACAGTAGGGGTGTAACGGTACACAAAAATCACGGTTCGGTACGTACCTCGGTTTTAAAGTCACGGTTCGGTACGTTTTCGATACAGAAAAAAGTAAGAAATGCCAGAGAATTTCCTATTTGTTAAAAGAAAAAATATTTTTTAAATAAGTGTGAGTTTTCCTACATCTTGAAACTTTCAGGTCTATAAATGGGTGTCATCTTTGAAGGATGAACAAATAATGTTTTGGTCATCACATTAAAAATAACATTTAAATATATGAAGAGTTCAGATGCAAAAGCCGTTTGAAATTTTCTTCTAGAATGATCATTTTTATCAAGCTTGTATATTTAAGTTCAGTAATTTCACTTAAATGGCAATGAAGATTACCTATTAATTGTCATTTGAGTGAAATTACTGAACTTAAATATACAAGCTTCATAAAAATGATCATTCTAGAAGAAATTTTCAAATGGCATTTAGAGGCTTTTGCATCTGAACTCTTCATATATTTATTTATATAATATTTGAGTTTTGAAGTGCTGGAAAAAGATGTGTGAAGTACTTGAAAGCATTTCACTATTCCAGCCAAACTGGTTACAGTTAGTGTTACTATATTAAATCCATGGTGAATGTTGCTGGTCTGTGGACGTAAAGTATTACTAGTTCATTCACGGCACAATGTTTCTCCTGGTGTCCACGTTAGCGCTGTTTGATCTAATAGAGATCTATGGTTAATAACGGAGAAATGTGAATGCTTCTCACTAGATCACGCAGCGATGTTATTACTTCAGTGGCGAATTCAAATGTTTTCTTCACTGGATCTCTTAGCGCTGTGTAGTAGCAGTGTCGCTTGATCGAGATCGGCTCGCGCTGCACAGATGTTGCCGGTCCGAACTTATAAACGGTCCGTGAAGCACATAATGAGTAGCGTAGTTTTGTTCCGCTATCATTACGCTTGCCATTTGATGTTGCGCAACGTTGTGGTGATAGCGCTAGCGCGAGTTTTGTCGGCAGGAAAAATGGTCCAAGGAATCGTTCGGTTTGTATGCGTACCGAACCGGAAGCCTCGAACCGAAACGGTTCAATACGAATACATGTACCGTTACACCCCTAATGTACAGTATATCAATTCAGAACTGTTCTGCCTATCAAACCAAACATTTTACCAAAATACTCTTTATTTTGAACAATTCTAATAGCAAAAACAGTGAAATAAAAATGTCTCACTACATGTATAGACATTCCAGAAGTGATCGTTTTACAACTAATGTATAAAATTTATAAAAAAGAAAAAAAAATGTTTTAGAACATTTGTAATTACAACAGTGTTTTTTTACTCAAATAAGTTACTATAAACTGACAATTAGAATGAATATCCAATTACCTTCTGCTGCTCCTCATCACCTCCTCCAAAACACTCTCAACACCACCAAAATCTCTTCTGTAGTCGACGATCCATGATAGAGATGTTCAGATATAAGCTTTGGAGTAAATCGATGCGTCGATACGAGCACCTTGTAGCAAAACAATGCGCTCTGTGTGTGTGTCTGTGTGCTCTGTTTGTGAAATGGCGAAAGCGCATGTGTGAACGAAAACTGCAATGAAACGAAATGTTTCATTGCGCATGTGTGAACGAAAACTGAACGAGAACTGTCTATCACTGCAATCATGTTTTAGTTGGTTAATACTCCCATCCATCAAAACTTTGCTGACTAGACATTGACTGACTTTATCCAGGCTTTTATCCAGTTGAAAACCGGGGTGCAAGAGTGACAGGTCGCTCAGCCTGTCATGCGCTTCCTTTATGTTTTGGTCATTCACAAAGCCTGTAATTGGAGAGAGTGGCTCATTTTATCCAGAAGAGTCTAAACTAAATTTATTTATTTATTTTTTTATTACAGGGACAGTGCATATTAATAAACATTTTCTGTAAATATGCCAGAATTAGCCAAAAAGGCTATTTTTCATCTGCAGTCCCTAGACGGATGGTAAAAAAGTCAACTATGGGGAGAGATGGCTTTTGAGTGTTGAATACGGATTAGAATCGATATTTCATTGAAAATAAACATGATGGATTACTCTCGAAAACGCTCATGCAAACAAAGGAGTATATTTAATTTTTTCCCCTATTTTTTCGTAGTTTTGGATTAAAAAGTGGGATGCATTTTGAAAAGTAGACCCTTACATTGAAATATATGCTGGTGTTTCTTGGATTTGTCCGAACTGATCTGAACCATAGGAGATAAAAGATATTGTCGTTCATTTTATTCATGTTTACATGGCCAGTCTTTCCGCATTTAATTTAACCCTTTCCTCTCCGGTGTATTGATTGCTTAAACAAGTTCAGAACATGATTCTTGAGTGTTTAAGCTTTCAAATGATGCATAATTTATGATAGTCGATTGAATATTTGTTATAAAACAAAGGTAAAAATAAGTTATTAAAGTATAGACACGGCCCGCCCAAGGGCCGATGCTATTAATACACTGTGATCGACAGTCCGTGTAGGCCTCCTAGGCAAGTGTGATTTAGATTACCAAAATGACCCTATTTGACATGAGACATCAATGTTTTAACTCCGCCGAGACCAGCGCTGTATATATTTCTGGTATGGTATGTACACAATATCCAAGGGAAGATATGGAGCTGACGGAAGATTAAAAGGACGCAAATGGAGCTGAGTAAATTCCGCCGCCGAATACTGGAGCATTGTCCATACCACAGAATGGTATACAGTAGAAAGGACGACCCGGATGTAGTTCATCTGCACCAGTTGCTTACTGATCTTCATAGTTGATCCCCATGCCAGACGTACCACAAAGAACAGTCAGTAACCGACAAGCAAACCGGCAACCACAGAAAACATCAACACGTAGATCAACCAGCGAACAAACCCGCCGAATCAGCGTGGAGACACAGGTCAGAGTGATGCATTCATAAGTGCAGGAAGATTTAGAAGTACTAAAAGTTTTAAAATTCCCTCCCTGAGCAGCGGCAGCTGATAGCACCAGCGTTCACCCAGAAGTGTAGTTGTTTGTTGGTAATCTGTTTGACGTTCCTGTTGAACCCCATTGCTGCAATCACGAGCTGAATTTGCTGTAACCGTGGTTTCGTCTGTAAAGCTCTCTAGAAGCAGTTTGTTTCCTCCACGGACCACTGTTGTTTTGGCTTAATCGCTCCCATCATTTTTAGCTGCTATTCCAAAATTGGCTTTCTCAAGTTTCTGTTTGTCTTGTTGGTCACGGTAACCCAAGCCCCTGACACAAGCAGTTCTTGCTTCAAGACCGGTAATGTTTTGGTGCTACTTGCAAACCACTTTTCCTTAGTGGCCACAGTATTGCATTTTTTTTATTTATTTAACCTCTGAATGTAAGAGCAACAACAACACCACAGTCAATCTCTAATAATGCCAGTGGTTCCGTAACCAAGAAGACTAACACACACACATCGACATACAGCTTCTTCAAGGTTGGATTTCATGCCTGATACAAATTAGCTAAATGAGTTGAAATGTTTCTAAATGACTATTTGAGCAAACATTTGCACCTGAATAATTGGGAGTGATTGTAAGTGTGATGATCATCTGCTAAATGAGCAACAACGACCACAATTCACTCCTTCAGTCAGTGAAGCTCCCACAGCCGTTCATGAGAGTTTAAATGCTGGGGAATATTCACATCTTCCCACAGGAGAAGAAGAAGCAAGCAGGAGGAATTACTCCAGGAGAAACTACGGACATACTATTGTAAAGATGGAGATTAAGGAAGAACCCTGCGGAATAAAAGATGAAGATACAGAGGAACAAATAGGTTGGTGTTTTCCTTCATTCTCTTTAAAGACTGACGAGGAACATTTAAGATGAAAAATTACATATAACAATAACATCTAAAACTAGATACTAGTAGACTCCATATTAAACTAGATTTAGCTAATTTGGTGCTCCAATTATTTATTTATTTTCTAATTTGTGAATTGAACCCGAGTATAATTGATTTTAGACTCAATGGAAGTGACTGAAGACAAACAGCATTTCATAAATAAAGTTGGAAACATCATTTTAAAGACTGAAAAGAATTTCATACCGAAATTTGCTGGAAAAACTGGATTCAAAGGATCTTTTACCTGCTCTAACTGTGGAAAGAGTTTCACAAGAAGAGGAAACCTTAAGTTGCACATGATGATTCACACTGGAGAAAAACCGTTCACATGCACTCAGTGTGGAAAGAGTTTCGCTCAAAAAAGAGGCTTGAATGAGCACCTAAAAGTTCACACTGGAGAAAAACCGTTCACCTGCACTCAGTGTGGAAAGAGTTTTAGATGCAAAAAGGTTCTCAAAGATCATCTGCGCCGTCACTCTGGAGTGAGATCATTCAACTGTGATCAGTGTGATAAAACATTTGTTGTGAAATCAAACTTAAGAAGACACCTTAAAGTTCATACTGGTGTGAAGCCTAATTTTTACTTTTGTTCTTTTTGTGGAAAGAGTTTGTCAAAACTGCAGAATTTAAAAGTGCATGAGCGTATTCATACTGGTGTGAGACCTTATATGTGCTCTGACTGTGGAAAGAGCTTTATTATTTCCAGCGACTTGATAAAACACCAGAGGATTCATACTGGAGAGAAACCGTACAAGTGTTCACACTGTGGAAAGAGATTCACTCAGTCAGGAACCCTCAAAGATCATGAAAGAGTTCATACTGGAGAGAAGCCGTACAAGTGCTCACAATGTGGAAAGAGTTTCACTCGGTCAACTATTCTACGGACTCATGAGAAAAAGCATTGCCTGAAGTTGTTGTAGGATTGAAAATAATCCCAAGATATTTGAAAATGAACAAATATATTTGCTTTACTGTTTCCCCCCCCCTCTTTCTCAACCAAGAGACCATTTGGAGTGTGTTGATGTGTGTACTTCAGGGGTCTATGAATTGTCATACCTTTAGACGATTAGGGAACTTGTAATTATCTGATTGGTCAGTTTGAACGCCTCACATTTGGGTTTCGGTCACATGCTCAAGGAAGGGATGAAAGAAGATTGTAACATTTGCTCTGTCTCTTTTGATTTTCTGTTTCACATTCTTGGGTCTCTCTCTCTCTCTCTCTCTCTCTCTCTCTCTCTCTCTCTCTCTCTCTCTCTCTCTCTCTCTCTCTCTCTCTCTCTCTCTCTCTCTCTCTCTCTCTCTCGCTATGCTGGGTCCAATTAATGGTATAAGTTATCATCTCATACATCTATTTTAAGTGTAACCATATCCATATTTTGTCAATAAACCTTTTCAATTACAAATGATGTGCTAACTAGTTTTGATTTGGTATTGACATTGAAGTGCTACCTATACAATATTGTCACTCCATATTGCAACGCTCTCGCATATATTGAGCTATTGTAACTGCGCTTATTTACATTGTTGATATAAGTATATAAATGATATAAGTAGCAGTGGGTGGTAATAGACAAGAAATGTAGTTTTTCACCATCTTGCTGACAACGTTTCTTTTGTCATTCTGCAGTTTTGCAGCCTGAACCTCTGCAGCAAATCCACCCTTACATTGTCTTAGTGTGAATTTGTAAGTGAGTATTGCACTTACAAATAATTGCACTTACAAATAATTGCACTTACAAATAATTGCACTTACAAATAATTGCACATTCAGATTTACTGAACTCCTAATTCTTCTTAAAGTTTTTCAGGTGAACTTTGGTGAGATTCATTTTTGATTGATTCCCTTCCATCGCAATGATCATTAGTTATTAACTTAGGGGCCGCTAACACGACACCGTTCTAACAGAAAAACCTTAATGCGATCTGGCTGCTCATTTGCACAAAACTGCCTGGTGGCTCGAGAACGCAAACCATGAAATGGGTTCCAAGCTACAAGCCTTGAAAAATGTATAATACATAATTTTTTTATCGCTTCCGCGTAGCCACGTGAACCAGAATTATCCAGACGTTTTATCTGTACAGAGGTTTATTTGAGAGAGACTAGTTGACACTTCAGGACTGCGTTGTCGTCGTGTCCAGACGAAGGTCCTTCATCAGATCCGCATACGGCCTGGAACCGGCAGACTGCGGAAAACCTCGGGATAAACAGAGACTAATATTAGCATAGACGCCATCCTTCTTATGATGTAAAAAGTACATCAGGATTTATGGGAAGTGTTCCCGGTTCCGGCTGATCTAATCTATGCAGCCTAACATTGAATTATAGAAGTCTATAAAAATCACACGTGAAACATTGCAAAAATAGTCTGAAACTGCTGAAACAATGTAACCTTGCTCTCACTTGAAATGTGTCCCGACATTAAGGAGATGGTCCTGGATCCAGATCCAACTCCTCCCACCTTACATATACCTAAACCTACCCATCTCTGCCCCCTGATCCCTAACCCCACCCCTAATCCTACCCATCTCCACCCCCTGATCCCTAACCCTAACCTCTATTCCCACCCATCTCCACCCCCTGATCCCTAACCCCACCCCTAATCCTACCCATCTCCATCCCTTAGATCTGGATCCAACTCCGGCCCCTGGATCTCGTGTACTGCAATGAGGTGCTACTGACATTAAGTCCTTGAATTTGACGGTATTGGACCTGGAAAGTCCTTGAAAGGTCCTTGAATTTAACGTTAACCAGGGTGTGGGAATCCTGCTTTGTATACCAAATTCAAGGCTTTTTTCAATGCTTTTAAGATCCCGCGGGTACCCTGGTTAATGTGTCTTGTCCCCTCACAATGACAGTTAACTAATTATTAGGCTACATTACATGAGTCACGGTCTATTTTCAGTTCCAAATGGTGAAAATAGACAAAAGTTTATTAGTTTGCCTGATTATTTTTGTGATTCGTTTAACATTTATGACCCTTTAGTTTAGCAACTTACATCTTATCTCGCACTTGACCGACAGTAAACTGAAGCGCGTCGAGTCGCTCCTTTACTGTCTAAATTTCGCTCTGCTAAAATTCGCGCTGTGAACATAAAGCCTGCCTACTTTCATTTGATTGGTCATCTCAAATATTCCGACATTGACGAGCAGTGTCAGACCAATGTGGCTCAGATGAACATACACAAACACACACACCACCCTGTCTTCTGTTTGTTCTGACGTGCTTGGCGCCACTGCGGAAGAACGCGCTGATAACAAGATAGTTAAGACTGAAGCGAACACGAAGGCTTATCACATATTTAAAGATTGAAAGGGAGAAAACAGGACAGAGTAACACGGCGGATATCGCTCATATAATTTTTTTTGATAACGTATTTAAGGCGGCAGGCGTGTGTTGCTTAGGCGGCCGCCTTAGTTTCAAAGTGCTGCGGGAAACCCTGAACGATGTCTTATAGGGAGCTAATGCAGTGTTGTCAGAGCCGGGCTAATATGGTCATACTTCCTGGTTCTGGTAAGAACTCGAGCTGCTGCGTTTTGGACAAGCTGTAGTTTGTTTATTAAGCGTGCAGGGCAACCACCCAGTAGAGCATTACAATAATCTAGTCTTGATGTCATGAACGCATTAAATGGTAAATGGTAAATGGACTGCATTTATATAGCGCTTTCACAGACCCAATGGCCACCAAAGCGCTTTACAATTTGCCTCACATTCACCTATTCACTCACTCATTTATACACCGACGGGCGACGGCAGCCATGCAAGGCGCCATCCAGCTCGTCGGGAGCAGCTGGGGTCAGGTGTCTTGCTCATGGACACCTCGACACTTGGTCAGGTGGAACCGAGGATTGAACCACCAACCTTCCGGTTTGTACACAACCAACATGAACCACTGAGCCACTGCTGCCCCTAATTAACTAACTGTTCCGCATTTGTCATTGAGAGCATATGACGTAATTTAGATATATTTTTAGAATGGAAAAATGCGGTTTTACAGATATTAAACACGTGACTTTCAAATGAAAGATTGGTATCAAAGAGCACACCCAGGTTCCTAACTGACGACGAAGACTTGACAGAGCAGCCATCAAGTGTTAGACAGTATTCTAGGTTAGTATGTGAGGATTTTTTTTTTTGTCCAATAATAAGAATCTCTGTTTTTTCAGAATTAAGTAGTAGGAAATTACAAATCATCCAGTTTTTATATCAGCTATGCACCTGGAAACGTCTGTGGGTTAAGCTTTATTTTTCGTTAATTTAGCCACTGTTTCAAATAAATACCTAGGGTTTTGTTTGTTTTCTTCTAATAGGGTTGAAAAATAAGAAGATCTAGCAGTTTTTAAGGCCTCTCTTTACGCAATCGTGCTCTTTCCATGAAATGCGAAAAAACTCTAGATGCCCTCCATTTTTCTGGCTGCTCTCTTAAGGGCCCCTCGTTGTACCACGGTGTTGGACTATTTTCTTTAATCTTCTTTAAGCGCAAAGGAGCAACTGTGTCTAAAGTGCTGGAAAAGAGAGAGTCAAAAGTTTGTCGCATTTTCGAGTTCTTCTAAGCTATCTGGGATGCTGAGGAGATGAAACTGATGAGGAATATTATTAATAAAGTGATCTTTAGTGGCAGAAGTGATGGGTCTTCCATATTTGTATCACGGAGTCAACTTTGCAGCCTTGGCTAAATGAAGTATACACAAGACAGATAATGATCTGAGATGTCAGCGCTCTGCTGTAGAATTTCAACGTTGTTAATCTATTCTAGCAGCTGCTAATCTAGCTGCTGTGCTCCAGGGAGCGATGGAAAAAATCTCAGATTGGATGGTACAATCGCGATTGACATTAAATTTTAGCAAAACTGTCAGCATGTTTTTTTTCAATAAGGAATACTTCTCACGCTGTGCCGGAAATGAGTGTAAAAGGAACAATGATTCAAGAAGCAGAGTCTGTCAAGTATTTAGGCGTTTTGTTGGATAGGACACTGTCGTTTAAAAAGCATGTTTCAAAATTGATAAAAACCGTACAATTTAATTTATCGCAATTCAGATACATTCGCCCCCAAATGAGCACAGACGCAGCTAAGCTCTATATGCATGCGATGATATTTTCACATCTTAAATACTGCATCACAACTTGGTCTCTGTCAGCCAACTGTTACAGCCCCTTCAAAGCTTGTATAAACAGGTACTTAAAATTTTAGATAAAAAAAACCTGTTTCATATCACTACTGTAACATTGTGAAGAAATATAAATTATTAACTTTTGAGAATTTTGTTGTTTTCAGATGTCAATTTAGTATACAAAATTATTCATGATCTAGCCCCTGAGAATGTTTGTGAAATCTTGTGAAGAGGCAGGACTTAGAACAACACGAGCCTCCTCTAGAGGAAATTGTTATGTCAACTTCAGGTCCTCTACCTTTGGACAGAATTGCTTCTCTGTGAAAGCTGCAGGGATGTGGAATGTGTTGCCATTAACTGTTCGTGAGAGTAATACCTTGCAACAGTTTAAACTTAATTTGAAGAAGTGGTTGAAAGACGGTCAGATTTGTGTACATTAACACAAAATTGGTTAATTAGGGTATTTTTAAAAATGCAAGAAGGTAATATTAAAAGAAAAGAAAGAAATGAGAATTATACTGTAATTATTGCAATTTCATGTTTGTTGAGGTGATCCTTTTGCTGGTGCTGCATCTGTATTTTATATTGTAAATTAATTCATTAGTACCGTATTTTCCGCACTATACGGCGCACCGGATTATAAGGCGCACCTTCAATGAATGACCTATTTTAGAACATTTTTCATATATAGGGCGCACCGGATTATAAGGCGCATGAGATACTGCAGTCAAACCGGCGCTGTCTCCCCGTCTTGGTGAACGTGTGTTCTCCATCCATATATAAGGCGCTCCGGATTATAAGGCGCACTGTCGGTTCTTGAGAAAATTAAAGGCTTTTAAGTGCGGAAAATACGGTAAGAATGCTCTTTGTCCACTGTATAAACCTGCTGTCATTTTGCCTCTACCCAGGGACTGCAGATGAAAATTTGCTTAAAGCTATCTCTGTCTTGTGTAACACATTTGTTGTGCAATGTCCCTGTCAAATAAACAAATAAATAAATATTCGACGTTCCTGTCGAGCCCCGTTGCAGCAATCTCGTACTGAATTTTCTGTAACTGTGGTTTCGTCCGTAAAGCTCCCTCTAAGCAGTTTGTTTTCGTCCACGGACCACTGTTGTTTTGGCTTAATCGCTCCCATCGTTTTTAGCTGCTATTCTTGTTGGTCACGGTAACCCCAGCCCCTGACGCAAGCGGTTCTTACTTCTAGACCAGTAATGTTTTGGGGCTACTCACAATCCACTTTTCCTGGTTCAGAGCTAGTGCTTTAGGTGTCGAAAGCCAAAGAACTGATTTGAAACTAGGCTCTGGCTCTGAACCAGCACTGAAGCTGCCTTGGTGGAAAAGGGGTATAAGACCCCCACTCCCCACGGCACCCTGAAGAACCTACTGAGAGGAAAGACTTGAACCACTGGAGTGTTGTTCCTGAGATACCTTTTATCATAATTGTTGCCAGGAGGATCAGGTGGTTAACTGTGCCATACTGTGTATAACTGTGTATACTGTGTAGACACATAACTGTGTCTACGCCGTTAAATGTCCGAGTGATTCCGCGTGTATGTACACGCTGTTAAATGCCCAAGCGAAATGAAGCAAAATGTAGATCTACATCTGGGGAGCGATTATTTTTTTTTCCTAGGATGGTAGGGGAAGACTCATAAATGGTATTAACCCCAGTGACGGGTAGGTTTAGGGACGGGTTGGGGTAGGTCATATATTTATATATACAGTAATGTAACGTTAAGTCAACGGCGTTGATAAACACGCTGAAAAGCGATTATGCGTGTTGATAGCACGCCAAAAATGAAAATACGAATTGGTGTGTCATACATGCGCCATTTCATGAGATCAGTCTGGATCTAGGCAAGGCAAGGCAAGTTTATTTATATAGCACATTTCATACACAATGGTAATTCAAAGTGCTTTACATAGAGAAAATTAAAATAATCAAAACAAATAAGAATAATTAAAACAGTTTAGAATAAAAAATAAAGTACAGTAAAAACAGTCGGACGAACAGTGGCACAGTGCTCATTCAGTAAATGCATAGCTAAACAGATGTGTTTTGAGTCTGGATTTGAATGTAACTACTGTAGGAGCACATCTGATCTCCTCTGGAAGCTGGTCCAGCATAATAGCTAAAAGCAGACTCTCCGTGCTTAGAGTGAACCCTTGGTATTTCTAGCTGATGTGATCCTAATGATCTGAGTGATCTGTTAGGTTTATATTCAGTGAGCATATCTGCAATATATTGAGGTCCTAGCCCATTAAATGATATATATACCAGTAATAATACTTTAAAATCAATCCTAAATGTAACTGGGAGCCAGTGTAAAGACCTGAGGACTGGTGTGATATGTTCATATTTTCTGGTCCTGCTCAGAATCCTGGCAGCAGCGTTCTGTATGAGCTGCAACTGTCTTATGGTCAGAGGTGGGAGTAAGTCACACATGTGCAAGTCTCAAGTCTTAACCTTCGAGTCTCAAGCAAGTCCAAGTCAATTTTTTATAAAAGCAAGCAAGTCAAGTCAAGTCACTGCCTTATGTCAAGCAAGTCAAGTCGTAGCTTGGGTCACAAGTCACTGGCAAGTCATACAAACGTTTGATGATTTCACTGAATTTATATATTAAAATAAGTTAAAACTACATCAAGTCATTCTCGAGTCATACAGTTCAAGTCAAGTCAAGTCTCAAGTCATTGGATCTCAAGTCAAAGTCAAGTCGAGTCATTTTCTTAATTTAGTCAAGCAAGTCTCAAGTCCTTAAATTTGCGACTCGAGTCTGACTCGAGTCAAGTCATGTGACTCGAGTCCCCCATCTCTGCTTATGGTCTTTTTAGGAAGGCCAGTGAGGAGTCCATTACAATAATCCACCCTGCTGGTGATAAGCATGCACAAGTTTCTCTAAGTCTTGACTGGAAACAAAGCATCTAATTCTTGCAATATTTTTCAGATGATAGTATGCTGATTTAGTTATTGCTTTGACATGACTACTGAAACTACGGTCTGACTCTAGAGACACACCAAGATTCCTGACTTGATTTTTAGTTGTTAGACCCCTAACGTCAAGGTATGCATTCACCTTGAGAACTTCATCTTTGTTTCCAAACGCAATGACTTCAGTTTTGTCTTTGTTTAACTGAAGAAAGTTTTGGCACATCCAACGGTTTACTTCATCAATGCATTGGCACAGGGAGTCAATGGGGCTGTAGTCGTTAGGCGATAGGGCTAAGTAGAGCTGTGTGTTGTCTGCTAAGCTGTGGTAAGAGATTCGGTTCTTTCTCATTATTTGGCTCATTGGGAGCATATACAAGTTGAATAGGAGTGGTGTAAGAATTGAGCCTTGAGGGACTCCGCATGTCATGGGTGTCCACTCAGACTTATGGTCTCCTATACTCACATAATAACCTCTCCCTTTTAAGTATGACCTGAACCATTTTAGAACTATCCCAGAAAGCCCTACCCAGTTTTCCAGCCTGTCAAAAAGTATGTTGTGATCGACAGTGTCAAATGCAGCACTGAGGTCGAGTAGTACCAGCACTGATAATTTGCCTGAATCAGTATTTAAGCGAATATCGTTTATTATCTTTGAGCGTTGTCTCTGTGCTGTGATGCGATCGGAAACCAGATTGAAAATTGTCAAAGTATCCATTCAAGCTTAAGAATTTGTTCACCTGATTGAAGACAACTTTTTCAATGATCTTGGCTATGAAAGGAAGATTTGATTCATCTAGAAAGATGAATACTAAGAATTTGGAATACAAAATTGCAATCAAATGATCTCATGAATACTGCCCATCTAGATTTTAATTCTACTCTCTAATTCTAATTCTTTAATCCTGCAAATAAAAATGATTTAATTTTTTTTTTGGATCTCTGAATGTAAGAGCAAACAAGCAAACCAGCTAAATGAATTGAAATTGTTTCTAAATGACTATTTGAGCAAACATTTGCACCTGGATAATCTCTAGTGATTGTAAGTGTGATGATCATCTGCTAAATGAGCAACAACGACCACAATTCACTCCTTCAGTCAGTGAAGCTCCCACAGCCGTTCATGAGAGTTTAAATGCTGGGGAATATTCCCATCTTCCCACAGGAGAAGAAGAAGCAAGCAGGAGGAATTACTCCAGGAGAAACTACGGACATACTATTGTAAAGATGGAGATTAAGGAAGAACCCTGCAGAATAAAAGATGAAGATACAGAGGACCAAATAGGTTGGTGTTTTCCTTCATTCTCTTTAATGACTGATGAGGAACATTAAGATGAAAAATTACATATAACTATACATCTAAAACTAGATACTAGTAGACTCCATATTAAACTAGATTTTGCTCATTTAGTGCACCCTGGATCTCTTTTAGTTTCTAATTTGTGATTTGAACCTGAATGTAATGTTGATTTTAGACTCAATGGAAGTGACTGAAGGCAAGAAGCATTTCATAAATAAAGTTGGAAACATAATTTTAAAGACTGAACAGAATTTTGCTGGAAAAACTGGAGTCAAAGGATCTTTTACCTGCTCTGACTGTGGAAAGAGTTTCATAAGAAGAGGAAACCTTAAGTTGCACATGATAATTCACACTGGAGAAAAACCATTCACATGCACTCAGTGTGGAAAGAGTTTCACTCATAAAGGAAACTTGAATGAGCACCTAAAAGTTCACACTGGAGAAAAACCGTTCACCTGCACTCAGTGTGAAAAGAGTTTCAGATGCAAAAAAGTTCTCAAAGATCATCTGCGCCGTCACTCTGGAGTGAGATCATTCAGCTGTGATCAGTGTGATAAAACATTTGTTGTGAAATCAAACTTAAGAAGACACCTTAAAGTTCATGCTGGTGTGAAGCCTAACTTTTACTTTTGTTCTTTTTGTGGAAAGAGTTTGTCAAAGCTGCAGACTTTAAAAGAACATGAGCGTATTCATACTGGTGTGAAACCTTATGTGTGCTCTGACTGTGGAAAGACCTTCACTTTATACACTGGCTTAAAACAACACCAGAGGATTCATACTGGAGAGAAACCGTACAAGTGTTCACAGTGTGGAAAGAGTTTCACTCAGTCAGGAACCTTGAAAGATCATGAAAGAGTTCATACTGGAGAGAAACCATACAAGTGCTCACAATGTGGAAAGAGTTTCACTCGGTCAACTATTCTACGGACTCATGAGAAAAAGCATTGCCCGTAGGATTAAAAATAATCCCAAGATATTTGAAAATTAACAAAGATATTTGCTTTACTGTTTTCCACCCCCTCTTTCTCAACCAAGAGACCATTTGGAGTGTGTTGATGTGTGTACTTCAGGGCAGAGTTTCCGCTAGAAAAAAATGGTGCCGGTCAAAGTGACCGGCAGAGGTTTCGTTTAACGGACATTTTGATGATATGCCGGTCAAATATCGCCTCTTAATTAGTCAAGTTGAGGAAAACTGGAGGCAGGCTATGTAACTTAAAAAATGACATAATCAGGCCGTATAGAATGCAACATGTTATTATTAGCCTAACTTTCAAATAGACAGTGATAGTGGTTTCACTTCACATAGATTCACTTTTTGAAACATTGAGGCACGGATGTACCTAATACAAATAAATAAAACATTTCCAGTTAACTAGCAGACCATTCATTTAGTTCGCTATTAAATAAGAGATCTAGCGCTAAAATCAGTTGTTTTTTTAATCAAGCTGAGCGCTCGTGTCAGCTGCTATCAGTTGAATGGACGACGCGCTGCACGAGGTGCGCAATCTTCACTCGGACGCGCGTTTCAATCTATCGTCGTTGCGGAGACTCTACACAGGCGAAGCACTGCTACTTGGGCCCAGAGATATCACGCAACACCTGAAATAAAGCTTGCCACAAAGAACCGGCGAAAGTAATGATTATGCATGAAACATTTGAATTGTTGATAAATTGATAAAGTTGACGATGCAGACTTGCCATCTTCGCAGTAGTGAACGCGCCTAGAGAGAGAAATGCGTGCCTAGAGAGAGCACGCGCTGGCGCCTCCGTGACCTGATTATATTGTCCACTAAATTTGCTTCTTATTTATTAATCCAGGCAAATTTGTTGATGAAACATTGATTAAAATGAAGATACAATTTATACAAAACGAAATAAACTTTAAAGAAAGGCTTTCTACAAAACAAAACTAAATAAATGGTCAAAATCTGACCCATTCCAAATGTTTTCCAATATATTGGTCATCTTATGATCCTATACTCATCTCATGCGGTTCCCTTTTCATATAATCAACATGGATGAAATAAAAAAATAATAACATTATATTATTTATAAATATGAAAAGTATGTTTAAGTTTTTTAACTTATAATAAGCGTCACACCGCTCCGCTTTGCTCACATGCTCTGGGGTGTAGCCTAATGCATGTGTGCGTGCATGTGGTGGAGGGGTGCGATTTTCGAATAATAATCAACCCAGCGAACTTCGAATATTATTTTTGCTTGGAAATTTCGTTTTGTATAAATTGTATCTTAATTTTAATCAATGTTTCATCAACAAATTTGCCTGGATTAATAAATAAGAAGCAAATATAGGCCTAGTGGGCAATATAATCAGGACACAGAGGCGCCGGCGCGTGCACACTTCTTTCTATAGGCGCGCGCGTTCACTACTGCGAAGATGGCGAGTCTGCATCGTCAACTTGATCAATTTATCAACTTTATCAATAATTTCAATGTTTCATGCATAATCATTACTTTCGCCGGTTATTTGTGGCAAGCTTTATTTCAGGTGTTGCGTGATATCTCTGCGCCCAAGTAGCAGTGCTTCGCCTGTGCTTCCAAACATGCATTTGCCCACCTATCTAAATGTAGGGGAGACCGTGAATAACCCAAATTTAAAAAAAAAAAAAATGGTGGAGTGTTCCTTTAAGGCTAGCCTGCCTGGGCCTGGCCATATTTGAAACGTCTCACTCAATCGTTCGTTGTTTAGGTCTATAGCCTATATTACAGCCGTTTTAGGCGTGCGCTTTATTTGAAATGCAGCATGTGATGTTTAATAACTTTCAAACGGTAAAGCCTGTTCCTTTATAACAGCCAAAGGTCGGTGTATTTTTGCGTTATACATTTTAGGCTTATTCTCAAATTCATATTGTGTTAGGGGGGCGGGATTATTACGCAATTTTAATCGGACAATTTGACCGGAGAGATTTATTTTTGTCGGACATTTCATTTTTTTCCCGGCCGATGTCCGGTAATTACCGGACAACGGAAACCCTGCTTCAGGGGTCTATTGAATTGTTATACCTTTAGACGATTAGGGAACTTGTAATTATCTGATTGGTCAGTTTGAACGCCTCACATTTGGGTTTTGGTCACATGCTCAAATAAGGGATAAAAGAAGATTGTAACATTTGCTCTCTCTCTCTCTCTCACGCTATGCTAGGTCCAATTAATGGTATAAGTGGTATAAGTTATCATCTCATACATCTATTTTAAGTGTAACCATAACCATATTTTGTCAATAAACCTTTTCAATTACAAATGATGTGCTAACTAGTTTTGATTTGGTATTGACTTTGAAGTGCTACCTATACAATATTGTCACTCCATATTGCAAGCTCTCCCATATATTGAGCTATTGTAACTGCGCTTATTTCCATTGTTGATATAAGTAGGAGTGGGTGGTAATAGACAAGAAATGTAGTTTTTCACCATCTTGCTGACAACGTTTCTTTAGTCATTCTGCAGCCTGAACCTCTGCAGCAAAGCCACCTTTACATTGTCTTAGTGTGAATTTCCCATTCACAGCCATGATTTACAAGTATTGCACTTACAAATAATTTCACATTCAGATTTACTGAACTCCTAATTCTTCTTAAAGTTTTTCAGGTGAACTTTGGTGAGATTCATTTTTGATTGATTCCCTTCTGTCGCAATGATCATTAGTTATTAACTTAGGGGCCGCTAATACGACACCGTTCTAACAGAAAACCCTTAATGCGATCTGGCTGCTCATTTGCACAAAACTGCCTGGTGGCTCGAGAACGCAAACCATGAAATGGGTTCCAAGGTACAAGCCTTGAAAAATGTATAATAAATTTTTTTTTTTATCGCTTCCGCGTAGCCACGTGAACCAGAATTATCCAGACGTTTTATCTGTACAGAGGTTAAGTGAAGGGAAGGAGGCCTTTACAGGGGAGAGACTAGTTGACACTTCAGGACTGCATTGTAGTCGTGTCCAGGCGAAGGTCCTTCATCAGATCCACATACGGCCTGGATCCGGCAGACTGCGGTAAACCTCTGGATAAACAAAGAGACCAATATTAGCATAGACGCCATCCTTCTTATGATGTAAAAAGTACATCAGGATTTATGGGAAGTGTTCTCGGTTCCGGCTGATCTAATCTATGCAGCCTAACATTGAATTATAGAAGTCTTTAATGTGTTGTGTGTATGCTAGGTCAAAGAGATGTGTTTTTAGTCTAGATTTGCACTGACAGTGTGTCTGCTTCCTGGACAATGTTAGGAGGACTGTTCCAAAGTTTTGGTGCTAAATAGGAAAAGGATCTACCGCCTGCAGTCAATTTTGATATTCTAGGTATTATCAACTGGCCGAAATTTTTGAGATCGCAATAGACGTGACGGAATATAATGCGTTAAGACCTCGCTCAAGTACTGGGGAGCTAGTACTGATTGTAAATAATCAACAATATTTTAATATGTATACAATGTCTAATAGGGAGCTAATGCAGTGTTGAAAGAACCGGGCTAATATGGTCATACTTCCTGGTTCTGGTAAGAACTCGAGCTGCTGCGTTTTGGACAAGCTGTAGTTTGTTTATTAAGCGTGCAGGGCAACCACCCATAATAGCATTACAATAATCTAGCTTTGATGTCATGAACGTATTAACTAACTGTTCCGCATTTGTCATTGAGAGCATATGATGTAATTTAGATATATTTTTAGGATGGAAAAATGCGGTTTTACAGATACTAGACAAGTGACTTTCAAATGAAAGATTGGTATCAAAGAGCACACCCAGGTTCCTAACCGACGACGAAGACTTGACAGAGCAGCCATCAAGTGTTAGACAGTATTCTAGGTTAGTATGTGAGGATTTTTTTTGTCCAATAATAAGAATCTCTGTTTTTTCAGAATTAAGTAGTAGGAAATTACTAGTCATCCCATTTTTATATCAGCTATGCATTCCGTTAATTTTGTGAATTGGTAAGTTTCGTCAGGTCGTGAAGAAATATAGAGCTAAGTATCATCAGCATAACAGTGAAAACTAATGCCATGCTTTCTAAATTATATTTCTTAAGGGTAGCATGTACAGAGTGAACCGCAACGGTCCTAGTACTGAGCCTTGTGATACGCCATACTGAACTTTTGATCGATTGGACATCTCTTCATTTACTGCAACAAACTGATAACGGTCAGATAAGTATGATTTAAACCATGCTAATGCAATTCCACTAGTGCCGACATAATTTTCTATTTTCTAAAAGTCTATTTAAAAGAATGTTGTGATCAATGGTATCAAATGCTGCACTAAGATCGAGTGACACTATTAGAGAGATACAACCACGATTGGATGATAAGAGCAAATCATTTGTGTCTCTGATGAGAGCTGTCTCAGTACTATGGTACGGTCTAAATCCGGACTGAAAATCCTCGCAGGTATAATTTCTTTCTAAAAAGGAACATAGTTGTGAGGATACTGCCTTTTCTAATATCTTTGGCAGAAAAGGTAGATTCAAAATCGGCCTGTAATTGACTAATTTTGTAGGATCAATTTGCGTTTTTTTTGGTTTAATCATAGCCAGCTTAAAAGTTTTTGGTACGTATCCTAATGACAAAAATTAATTAATGATATTAAGAAGAGGATCTCTGACCTCTGGAAGCATCTCTTTCAGTAGCTTAGTCGGTATAGGGTCTGACATACATGTTGTCGATTTAGATGATTTAACGAGTTTAGAAAATTCTTCCTCTCCTATTGCAATGAATGAATAAAATTTTTCCTCCGGGAGACTACAATGCACTGCCTGGTGCAATACTGTAGTAGACGGTTGCATAGTTATAATTTTCTCCCTGAAATTATCAATCTTGTAAGTGAAGAAGTTCATAAAGTCATTAATGCTGTGCTGCTTGGAAACGTCTGGGGTTGAAGCTTTATTTTCCGTTAATTTAGCCACTGTTTCAAATAAATACCTAGGGTTTTGTTTGTTTTCTT